TTCATCCTTATGTCTTATATTCCTCATAATAATTTTATTATTATTCCCGAAAGAATAAAAATTATTTCACACTCACGCGAAAACGAATTTTCATCTTGACCATGCACTGTTACTCTCCCAAGATCGATATTATTTTTTTTCCGATCGTTGGTTCAATTTTTTTTGTTTAACACGCCAGGTATTTTAAATACGATAGATACGACATTTTTGTTGAGCATTTCACAAAGTACACGAAAAAGTACAAAATTAATTCTTTACATATTTTTAATATTTTTTTATTTTTTTTAATTTTTTAATTATCCCCATCACTCAAATTAACATGGGATTGTCCCATATTTTCATTTTTTTTACCAATATAAATACGAATCCTTAACATTCTTAATAGACACTCAAACGGGTTTATATTTTTTTTCTTTTCCATTATATTTTATTTATGGAAAATTGGAAAACTACGAAAACTCTACAATTTACCCCTTACCGTCTTTAATCGGTTTAAGATATCATATATAAATATACTTATATGTTTACACATGCCCGACCAACACAATAAATATATATCATATATATGCGCATACGAGTTTTATTTAATAACCTTGATTTATTTATATTAATTCTTCATAAAACCTCATTATTAATCAAAGTGTTTTCCTATATATATATTATATGTTATTACCTGTGTAAAGATTTTTTGTGCCCTAAATTCTAGACTTTATAACTCAAAAATCATGCCATTTTTAGTCATACCATAGTAAAATAGAAAAATGCATCAATAAGCCTCGTTTTAGTCGAGGCCACACTATTATACAAGCTACACATTAATACACTACACGTGTTTTTTTTTCATACATACGTCCTCTAACTTAAGTATTTTAAATGTTATATATTTTTATTCGCCTTCTGTCAAGTTAAGACATCGAGATTCGTATACTTCCCGATTTCAAAAAACTATCCGATACATGCATTAGCCGAGAATTAGTTTTATCAAAGTAACATTAAACATAATAACAAGCAAGACTCAAAAGGTCATAAATAATAAGAAATTTTTAATAAAAATAATTTCCATACTCTGACGTCGAATTTTTTGCTACTGTTGTACTTGATTTTTTATGGTTTCCACGATATTTTTGGATTTTATATCTCTAGTATTTTATCATTAAAGTTAAGAAAAGCTAAAATAGGCGCTACTTTAATCAATACGTGTTACATTGGCTTCAACAGCGTCATAATCCAAGTAGCTTGTAATATATATTCTCATATTTTAATTTATTTCGAACCTTGTTTGGAGTATCTTTTTTTTTAGGTTTATTAATTAGGAACTCGATTCCGATGAAATTTCATAATATCATTAGATACTTATTTATTTTATCGGATAATTTTTTAATCGAAATGACTAGTATTTGTAGATTGAAATATTAAATTTGTTTAATTTAGTATACATTTTGAATGATAGTAAATATAATGATGATATTAAAATGATAATAATACTCGAAGAAGTTGGGAACCTCTGTGATCGTGAAGGGGGTGGTTAAACAGGGCGTCGCCGCGTCTCTTCCGCGACCCCCACGAGCTATCGACCGAGACCGGTGAAAGCACGATTGTGGAGAGGAAGAAAAGTAAAGAGCCAAGGGGAAAATGAAATGAGATAAAATGAAAAGAAAAAGGATATAAATATTATGTATATATATATTGTCTTTTCTTCTTTTCATTCTTCGTATTCTCTCATTTCCACTTCCTATAAGATAGGGAAAAAAAACATCAAACTCAATTTAATACAAAAATGCTCTCATATTCACCCCCCTATATATAAATTATAAGTAAACTTGGAAAAGTTGATTAAAAAATATACGACATTAAGGTAACAATTTTGAACATCCATTGAGCTTAATTAACTGCCATATATTATGTATCTATTACGAGAAAAAGTTTATAAAAGTTGAGAATTTTAATTATAAATACTTTGATAGATTAACAGTATATGTAGATTAAAGTTACAGCTGATGTTAAAAATCATACATGACAATATTGAGTACTTAAACGAAGATATAATTACTCACTATTTATGATAGATGATAAAAAATGTTTGTTTAATAAAAGTATTTGATTTAGTGTAGTAGAAAATGCAGTGGAACTTGATAAAAAATAGTACATTGTGGAGTAGGTAAAGTGCAAAGTTTTATCAGTGATTTTAGAGTAGGAGAATCTAGCCCCTGAGTTACGTCTATGTAAAGTCGTGGTACGAGTCGACGTGCTATCGATTCGCTGCAGGAAGAGAAAGAACGCGAGGGAGAAAAAGAGACCGGGAGGGATGATAGAGGGTGCAAGAGAATAGTGTTGGACGTTGGCTTCATGTGTTAGTTGGTTTGAGGGATAGAGAAGCACATGCCGGCCTCCCGTTTCCATCGTCGAGAACTCCCGACACCCCCCACCCGGTGAACGGCATCGACCGCAACCCAACGCTGCAATGCGACGTTGCCATCCCAACGGGCAACAGCCCTTGCGAAACTCGCTTTGCACCGTCTTCTTCCTCTTTTTTGCCCCTTCATTCTTATCATTTTCTCCTTTTCCTTATTCTCATACGATTCAGACAATCGTCAAGAATTTTTTTTATCAAGTTTGACGCGATATCCCACATCCTCAAGTGTCAACTGTTCTCTATATGTGCTCATAAACCAATCTGAATTCAGAACGGAAGACAGGGGTTGGAAATGGCGTCCAGACTAAACGAGTTCAAAGTTCAATGACCGAAAGAGCTGATTCAATATATACAACAAAAAATGCTTTATTTTAAGTTATAAATATATGGTTTTTTTTTTTTTAATCTTAAAAGATGAATTTTGAGCTAATTTCAAATACGTTGTCAGTGTATGAAAGAGATGCAGAATAGAGAGAGGATGATTAAAGAAATTATAAAGAGGTGATAATAATAATAAAATGCGGCCAGGGTAAAGACCTTTGCAAGAAAATACACCGGAGCTCCAGATTCCTTGCTGAACTATTCGAAATATTGTTGAAAATGATATAGAGCTTAAAAAAAATTCAACAGATTACTTTATCAAAGTTACATAATTTTTATTATTTTTTAAATTTAAGATAAATGTTTGTTTATATGTTTTTATATGTTTAACGATGTTCTGTGTAACTAGATTTTTTAGCAAAATATTAATAAATACCATTTTTGTAAAAATACATATCTTAGACCATATTATAATTTTTTTTGACTTTTTCTGTATTACTGTTCGATCAAATGTTATTTTTTTTTATTGATATTACAAGTTAAAATTTTAAGTTATGTTTATTAACAATTACTAATCATGCCATTAAATAATAAGTTAATATTATTATTTTTATTTGTTATTTTTTTTTTTTGGTTTTTTTTTGGTATTAATAATTCATATTTGATTACGAATCGTCAACTTGTGTGAGACTGACAAAATTTTGCAAAAATATAGCTGATGTATAGTAGCTGCGTCGAAAACAATTGTTAGAAAATATATTTTAATTAATAAAAAATATTTAATATTTATTACGTACGATTGAACTTATTCTTTATAGAATAGAATATTATGGAATTATTTCTATCGAATAATTTTTTTTTTTTCAGTCCAACGATTGCTTAATAATAAACTGAAATATCGACATTTTTAATGTTTAATAATTGTCATGAGAATTACAATTTTTCATGTATTGATTTAATTATGAGGAAATAGGAAACATCGGAGAGACTTAAAATTAAGTATTGATGTCAGTAAGTTTTAGAATGAATAAATAAAATTTTATAAATTAAAATTGATATAAAATAATAATGAAGTAAATTTAAAGGAAATGAGGGAATAAAAAATAAAAACCAAAGTAAACATCACATTTGAATCATATTATATATTAAAATATTCATAATTATACTAATAATAGACATAATATATTATCGCGTGTTCATAAAATTACATAAAAAAATATAGAAAATAATAAACTTGTAGCTATGTCTTCTTATTATTTTTTGTCTTTCCCATACACTCGAAAATAACTTTTTCTCTTTCACTCTTATACGCGTATCTCTTTTTTTCAGCACGTTGCTAGATTTATTTATTTATATTTATATGTAATTCAATAATTATAATAACGTTTTATAGTATACACAGATCATATTAAATCGCGCGCCCTACCGTCATTTTTATTTTATTTATTTATCTTTGTTGTATGAGAACGAGTCTTACGTATACGAGTTTTATTGAAAAAATTTTTAATATGAAAAAAGTTTTTTATTATTTTTAATTATTTTTAAATTTTATATATGGAAAAAACCTTCCTGTTTCTTTGTTTTTTTTTTTATCATCTCGAATTTAAAGTGATTTATGAGATATTTTTATTCGAGTATAAGAATCATATATGAAATATTATAGTAAATAAATTTAAATTAGTAATTAAAATTTGTAACTTGTAATCAAAAAATTATATAATCTCTTTCAAAAAATTATATTTTCTCATTTTTCTTTTCAACAGTTACTTTTTTTTTCTTATTTTCTCTATTATTTGGGAATTGGAAGATAGTCTTTATATCGTTAAATGCATATAGTCTCAGTCAGTCGTGTGTCTAAGAATCGACAAAAACAACAAAATTTAACGAAAAAAAAATTGAAAAGAAAAATTGAGAATTGATATATTTAAATAAGTGATATAAAAGAACTAAGAAGGTTTCATAATTTTTTCTCTTAAAGAAATCTTAAAAAAAAAAACTTATTTATAATTGACAAAATAAACAAATGATAATTGAAACAAACAAATGATAAATATAATAATGATTGTAAGAATAATAATAGTATTAATAATAGAAATAATAATATAATAATAATCATTATCAATAATATAGTAATAATTATTATAATCGCACATTAAAAATGAACACTGGGCTCGTGTCCCCATTAACTTCATCCGAGATATTCTCTCCGGTAGTTCACTTATTTCCCTTCAATCTATATTCTGTTTTCCATTTTTCATCATTTATCATTTCTTATTATCCATTTATTTATTTTTTCCTTTCATTTCTTTTTTTTTTTTTGTTTTTTTATTTTTTTCGTCATCTCACATTTTCTCATTCTCATTACATTCCTCGGCAAAAAATTACGTCAGAGTGGATCAGAATACTAAAAATTATATTGACGATTTGATAAATTATATACAAACACAAAAACACAAAGGTTGCACGACCCTAAAAAGCAAACTGCATTGATCGTCAATTAATTTACTTACTCATGAAAGCTTTGACAGCTGAACTTTTTTTTTATTTTATTTTTTATGTTGTTACTTATGCGAGTAATGATTTGATTTTTTTTCACTTCATTAAACAGTATTATTTTTAACAAAATCAATGCAGATGGCTTTTTTTGTCATGGCTACGCATTAATAATTAATCGCTTATACTTGCGATGACAATAATAATTAATTAATAATAGTTATAATTATAATAATAAATGTTGATGATAAAATATCAAATATAAAATATCTCCGCTACATATATTAATCCTCATTTCTTATATTCACGCATGCGTTCATTTTTAATTATTCTCTTTTCTATTTTTTGCTACTTTTCGTTAACTTGACGATTCAGGGGCTTCAAAAATAAACTAAGCACAACATTCAATATATAATCGTAATAATAATTAATAATATTAATAATAATAGTAATAAATCAATCATATAATAATATAATAACTATAATAATGCCTGGCTTGCAAATACTCATCTATTCAAACACATTTAATTATTAGTAAATGTATTTTAATGTATAAATATTCACATGCTTTAATTTATATATATTATATATATTTATAAAATATTTGCTAAAAAAATTTTCTTTCAAGATATCTTAATTTTAATATTCTGGATTAGAGTTGTTTTATCCATTTGCCATGAAAACAATTATTTTTTTATTTTTCATATATCCCGAATCGTCTCAATAAATTTTCTACTATGCTTTTACAATATCCGATTATCATTTTAATCATTCGCACCACTATTATTTTTTTTTCTTATTTTTTCTTATTAACCTTATGTACGTAAATAACGTAATCCAAATATCCTCAAAGCTCACAAGTAAAAAAATTTCATCTCGACTTTTAATATCATTTTCTAATATTACGTTTCATAATTATATCTTGGAAATACTGATTCACTAGTTTTATTTTTTTTTTTTTTTATTTCATCACTTCTAGTCAAGCTTTTATTATTTTCTTTTTTTCATTTTTGAGCGGTTGCCTTACTCAACTTTGACTCGCGTTCGCAAACGAGGGATGTAATATTCTAATTGGTTTCCTCTCTCACACATCCAAGAAAGCTCGGTGAGTTACAGAAAAAAAAATGTAAATTCTAGACTTCTAAACATGTACTATGGGGTGGGAAAGAAATGTTATGATAAATAAATTATTTGCAACAAAAAAAAAAAAATATGAAAAAGCAAGCCATTCAAAATGATGATGGTAAAATGAATGAAGTACAAAAGCTTAGAGAATTAATGTGGTTACAAAATAATCAGAAACATGTTAGAAAATTAAAAAAAAGGCATTGATTGAATATTTGCAAAAATCTGAGATCGAGTTTGTGGGCTGAGAGCTGCGCGTGTAAGCCGCATTCGTTAATTATTATCGCATGATTATTACGGGACCTAGCGGCGATGTATTAGTAATTATTTGGCGTGTTTGACAAAACGACTAACCATTCAGTTAATCGATACAATTAGGTAATAATACCAATGCAAATGCGATATAGGAATATATATGCATATATGTATTCCTACAACATCACCTGCATGATATTTATGCTGGAAATTCACGCATAAAGAGGACGCATAGATCCATGCTAATAATTATTGTAATGATAATAATAATAATGAATTATATATGTATATTTTGCGCAATTAATTCTACTGTAAACATCTACAGATAATTTGACAATTAAGTAGGTAAATAAGTAAGCGGTTACGATTATAATACGATTCTCTTATTATTTATTTTCTCACTGTTAACTTTATAATGCTCAATGCTTAATTTTTTATATATAATATAATATCATATAATAGATTTTTTATATATATATTTTTTTAGAGTTTCGTTTGCAATATGTATATTTTTAATAATTAAAATTATGTAATATATTTATTTATGTTTAATTGGAGTCAAATTATTATGTCAAATTGAATTTTTTATTTGTTTATAAGTCGCAAATATACAAACATTCTCATTCATATCCCATCACCATACCAAACGCTCGATTGTCTGAAGATCTGTAGCGAATGGTGTGTAATTAAAATAAACAAAATGATTAATAATTAATAAAATGAAATAAACTTTTTTCTCTCTTTATTTTTTCTTTTAAATAAAATTTTAAAAAAGACCATACTTTGCACGTGTTTGACTTTATTATAAATTTTTTTTCATTATTTTTCTTGTATTTTATTTAATACCATTCACGATTGTTGTTTAATTTGAATTTTCTGCATAACATAATTTTTAATAATCTCACTACGAGCGATCTTGAATTAAAATCCATACATCTATATACGTATGCGAATAATCTGAAATATCAAAAATACCGGAACACTAGGTAGGCAACTCTATATATCTGTGGAAAGACAAACGTTTACATGTACACTTGAAAACTGCGAATATATTTATTTATTTATTTATTACACGTATATTTATTAATATATTTATATTTTTTTTTATTCATATATATTTTTGGATCGATCGTTTGGGGATTCGACACGAGAATTTGTGACGACAAAAATGCATGGCAAACCGTGCAGAAACATAAAATACGAAAATTAGTTTTGATTATCAAAAAAAAAAACAAAAAAAAAGAAGTAATTACGCACAAATAAATATATTTACACGTTAAATTTCTCAATAATATTCATAATAATGATTATAATAGTAAAAATATAGTAATAATAATAATTATAATAATAATAATAATCATACAAATATTAATAATTAATAATAATACATAACATACCTATTCAATAGAATATGACAATATAGTAAAGACAGTTTAAATTAAGCAACAATCATTTTTATCTCTCTTTTCTTTCTACTATATGTTTTGTTTTTTTTTTTTTTTAATTTACCATAATAATTAATAATCCTATAAGTATAATATTTTTGTTTTTTTCTCTCTCTTTTTCTAACTATTACTCGATTTTTCCTTACATTTAATTATTATTCTTTGAGATATGTATCGTCGTGCTCATGTTCTCTAAACTCCTTTTTCATTATTTTTTTTTTTTTTTAACTTCGTCGCACCCGTGGGAGAGGCACCGGAAGTAGGACAAGAGGATTTGATCGACGCGGGAGGCATTAACAATTGCTATTCTCACTCTCTTAATCCCTCAGACTTTTATTATTATTATTATTAATCCACAAAATTTTTTGCTGTTTCCTAAAGTTTATCGCAGATCTACAATTAAATGCGCTAAGCTTTGAATTGCATCCTAACATTTTACTTCACTTCAAACAATTTTTACCTTTATTTTTTCTCTATCAATATCACAAACCGTATTTGCATCAAAGCTATTGCGCTCTGTAGTCTTTTCGCTCTAAAACTTGTTTTTACATTTTTTTTCTTTTTTTTTTCTTTTTGTCATGTATTTTTTTTTTTTTTACGAAAATGGCAGTTATCGGTCACAGCCAATGGCTATATATTTATTACGCTTAATGCCTTAATACGTTTATTAGATATAAGCTTAGATTTTTAAATTTTTTTACTATATATTAAATACGTATAGAATGTGTCTCAAAGGGTTTCACAGCGTGTATTATATTTTTATTCATAATTTTTTCTTCATCATCCTCATTATTATTATTATTATTGAGTTATTGCGCCTTTTTTTTTTTTTATTAAGAGATTTAATGATTTGAAAAAAATATGAAAGTGAAAAAAAGTAAGACGAAAAAGTTTTATATTAAATATGTATATATATATGAATATTAAATTTAATGAGACTTGAAGGTGAGAATTGCAGTTGTGATATTAGAATGAATGTTTGTATTATACAGCAACACTGAGAATATAAGTTATACGATGTGGTTAAAATCATGGTTATGCATATGAAAATGTAAGGGGGGGAATGAAAAAGCAATGAAATAGTAGGAGTGTCGACTATGTCAGAACCTCGGCCAAAGTGAAGGTGTCTCTATTTTTGCTCAATGATTTTTAGCAGAATTGAAAAACTTTTTTATCTATTTATTGGATTAGAGATATGATCCTCCAGGTCTAGCGGAGGTTCTAGACAATATTGGTTCTTTCTAGACTGACCTAGACATTAAATTATGATAAATATTTCATTTAAACATGTCTACATGAAGCTATTAAGAGCATGAAAGCTCCACTCGCGTCGACAACATAATTTTTTCTTTCGTTCTCTCATCCAAAGGATTACACGCTTGCTTATGAACAAAAATCGCGCTCCGATTTCGAATGCGAAAGTTTAGAGCTTTTGGCAACCGCTCGATCTCATACCAGCAAGACTCAGCACATAATGGCTGTTACTTACACATTACACAAATTCACTTATTTATCATCAATTGTAATAAACTACAAAAAGAAAAAGGAAAGAAGAGATTCCTACGCGCCTTATATATAGCAATATAAATTATTAGCATTTTTCTGTCATTCATACTTCACGTATATATTTAAATATTTTTATATATTTATATTTATATATGTCAAACACATATACATTGAGAATTATTATTCTTTCCTCCTTCCTCTTTCGATTAATCCATTCAATCTAATCATTCAAACAGTAGAAGCCTGCGTTCGAGATCATTCTCATTTTTTATTTAAAAAAAATCGTCTCGCTCGATTCCCTCTTTATTTTAATAATTAATTTCATTCACATTAAACCTCACTCTCGCAATCAGACTTATGATGAAGTGCATGAGATAACAGTTTCATCTACTTCTCATGATCTATGTAAATATATATTTATGTATGTGTAAATGTTCCAATTACGTGCCTTTTATTTTTATTTTTCTACTGTTATATTTTTACTTGCTTATTTTATTGATTAAAAGTTGGAACTTGGATGTTTTGAGATAAGACTTATAAATATAAACGTATATATATTTATATATTTAATATATTTACGTCATCACCGTATTGATTTTTGTTCACTTCTTCATTAAGTTAATTTTCATATTATTTTTATTATTTAGATTTAACATAGAAAAAATATAGAATTCATTTTTGCCGTTCGAACTTAAAGTATATAATAAACCTCCACAGAGGATTGTATTTTTTATAATTTTTTTATTATTTTTTTTTGCTTTGTTTTTGTTGTTTCTTTGTATATAATACATTTAAGTGCGGACCAATACCATTTAACACGGCAACGTACGGTCGTTTACGTCGTCGCAAAATTAAATTATCGCCAACTAATGAATTACAAATTTACTCGTGTTAAATTCTTTATCGGTAGTTCGAGTTGCGTATTTATTATTTAATTTTTTTTTTTCCTTTTTTAAAATCTTTTTTTTTTTTTTTATATTAATTAATAGATTAAACATCGAACAACGATAATAGAATATATACGCGAGTTGGATGTAAAATAAATAAATATACATATATAAAATACACGTGAGAAGTTGAAAGCTTCCGGTGAGACGAAATTTTCAATAATATCTCTCTCGCGCACGCTCAGAATATAATTATATTTATTATAAATTTATAGATTAATAAAACGCCAAAAAATATAATTATTTTTAACAAAATAAAAATTAAAAAAATACACAAATAAAAACGCTATGTCTTCCTCCTATTTTTTTTAAACTCCTTGCACCGGTGGGTCTAAAACACACGTTGGCTTGAAGATACTATTTGAGCACATATATAAATCTTCGTCTTTTTTAAAATTTTTTAAAAATGGCAACGATTGACAAGAAAAAATTATCATTAATCTGAAATCCATTATAATCTTAGGACATCATGGACAAGTCATGAAACAGCTTCAACGTATATGCACGTTATTGCTATATTGATCAAAAAAATGAAAAATATATATTTTTTTATATAAAAAAAAAGAAAGACATGATACATAGAAAAATGAAATGAACGAAAAAATAACAGTAATCACAGGGGTTATTTCTGGTAATAATACGGGGCGCGACTACCCGATAGTTTTATTATTATTATTTTCATTCTTTCATTTTTTTATTCACCTGCTTGAAAAGTAAACCCCTGACTTAAAAAAGAAAAACAGCCCTTATATTTTTTAAAAATACTATAGAGAACCAACAGCCAGATTATATTCTCCCTTTCAAGTATGCTTAAACCTAAAGAGAGATGTAGAAAATTGTATCCTTTTCGTTCCTTCTCTATAATATTTGATATACAGATATTTATGCAATATGTATAATATTCTAAATAATAGTAATAATTAGTATAATTATTTAATATAATAATTAGAATAATAATAATATATAATACGTCTCTCGAAATGAAAACTACATGTGTTGCTGACAACCCTTTCCTAAGAAGGATATCATTATTTATGAAGTAATTATTACTTGATTATTACTATGAGTCAATAATACAATCAGAGGACGCGGCGCGAGGAGAGGAGATTGCTTGAGGATGTATTTAAATGTATGTTCTATAGATTTTAATATGTAGCGGGAATTAGGAGAAATGAACTCCACCCAGAAATATATTTCGCAACCCCGTGGGTAAGCCGAAATATTTTATCTTACCCCCTGATTGGTTTACTTGTGTAAACCCCAGCACAGCAATCATCAACTCATTATCTTACCTATACCTCATTTATGCCCCCTCCCCCCATTTTTATTTATTTTGTTCATTTTTTTTTTTTTTCTTTAAATATAATCGGCAACTTAAACTTCCGCCTGTCATCCCATCGGCAAACGCGCAAAAATACAAAATCTAAATTCTCGATAAAATATCATATATATATTTATATATAATATATATTTATGTTTATATTTTTTTATATATAATATATATTATTTCAATTACTATATCGCTTATATAAAGGTAAAGATAATACTCTAAGCGAGAGATGACGGGTGGAAGAAGTTTTATACCGTTTGAGCTATGAATTGTCGTTATTATTTATTATTATTTTATATTTTATTGATTTATTAAATTCAAATTTTTTAAAATTATTATATACTTGCTTTCTAAAAATTCTTTCCTTTACTAAACTTTTCCATTGGCAACTCGCGGGGTTGCGTATTATTATCCTTTGCCTCTAAATGACTACGCATTACCACAATCCACTTTTATCTAATCTCATTATTATTATGTTTTTATCAATATTTTATTTTTTCGTCGTTCACCAAATAAATGAACCGACATATTAATTTGTGATCATCATGATCTACGAGTATTCTACATATCTCGTATTTCGATTCACGGCGCGACTAGTTAATTAATTTATCGTCGATACACTATACCCAAGTATCAGTGTGAAATTCTCTTGGTTTTGTGGTTGCTTAAAAACATTCAATAGTCTGTTGAGACGAACCGAGATCTATATTAGCAAGAGAATTTTACACTTGTTTAAAATACATTTATTTAAAATTAAATGACAAAATTCGCATGCTTACGTGATCAAACAATTTTCTCTTGGTTCTAAACGAGAAAGCACGCATTTAGAAGACGCGCCGCGAGTCGGGACCTACACCTACAGCATATTTAATCAATTCGTTGTATCCGGTTGGCGCGGGAATGAGCGAGCGAAGAACGCGTTAATATCCCCGGGTATTGTGTATGGTGTATGTGTGTAAATGTATCTTTTAAATGTTTGTCTTGTTTAAGGTTTAAATATTGGCAGCAGCAGTGGAATTGAAATCTTGTGCGCGTCTTTCCAGACTCTAGGGTCCCTCGAAGTTGTCTTCATCTCTCTAATCCACTTGATTCTCCCCTCATACGCCTTCGACACTCTTCATCTGCATTATCTTCAATAACTCCTTCACACGCTTCCATTTTAAGAGAGAATTCGAAGTGCTTGGAGCACAGGCCTGGAGCACACAGGGCAGCTGGGATCGGAATTTTCACAGACTCGGTTCGCACATTCCAAGCAGAAAAGATTGTGTCCACAGGGTACTAAAGCAGTTGTTACTTCTTTGTCTCCACAAACAACGCATTCACGACGACCTCCGGCACTTCCACTTCCCAAAAGTGAGTCCGTTGGGCTGGCGGGACTTGCTGATGCTGGTGGAGATGGTCTTGATGGTAAAGCTACTCCTGGGAATGACCAGATTGATGATGCTGATGCAGTTTGTGATTCAAATGATGGTGATTCACCAAGACCTTCATCTCTTTCAAGTCCTGCGCCCCAAATGGCAACAATATCATTGAACCCAGGTGCTCCTGAGCTACTAGATGAGCTGCTGCAACTGCCACTGCTTGAGAAAGCACCACTGCTTGAACCATTCGAGCCGTTAGAACCAGGTGGATCAAGACTACCAAGAATTGATCCCAAACCACCACGACAAAGAGCACCGAGGAGATCTACTTCTTCAGCACCTAATCCTGGACCAGTTGTTGTACCAGTTCTCAATGCAATGTGAGCTTCAATTTCACGCCTTGCTGCCTCAACACTTTCTGGTAATCCCGTGACTTCAAACACTGGTTCTTTATCACGACTTGGTGTTACAATGTATGTATGTGTCTGGTGTTGAATCCTCTTGATTGTTGCTCCCTTTGGACCAACCACCAAACCAACAACTCTGTATGGCACGCGTACCTGAATTGTCACATGTCCGGGGACAGATGCTGGTGGTCCAGGTGGTGTACCAAGAAGTGCGCCAAGAGAGCTCTTACGAGAGGCGCGAATCTGCGAGAAATGTTCGGCTGCAGATAGAATTTCACGTTTAGCACGTGCTACATCTTCCTTCCTTCCGGTTACCACGAACACAGGCTCTTCACCGCGTACTGGAGTCTTGATGTAAGTATTTGTTTTAGCACGTAAAGCCTTGATTTTGCATCCTGTAACACAAAAAAAAACACCGAAAATTAGCTTTTCGAATAAGAACAATCATTTCTTATACTAAAAAATAAGCTGGAGGGTGTAAAAAAAAGATATTGGGTGGAGAGGCCAATTTGGCAGCAAAAAGTGAGCTGGTGTTATTGGATTTAAGTCCATTTAAAGACCTGCATAAGAGTAGCATAGCTATATACAATTGTTCACGCGAGATGAGGCATCGCCTGAGGTAAGGCAGCGTTGAAAGAAGGGAAAGAAGAGTGCAGGGTGTAGGAAACTAAAAGGAAGAACGTCCCGCCGACCCGGTCTGGTCCCGCCGCAGACTCCCTGGCCTTGAGTTGGCGCAATGCTAGCAATGCAGGTGAACCACTCCTCATCTTATCCCTTTCTAACATACTATCTTAATTCTTTCTCTTGCTCTTTTCTCTTGCACATTCTCCTGCATTCTCCGCTACTTCATCGCGTGCTCAACGCGATTCTCTCATCTCTATCTTCTATTCTTTTCCCGTATACTCTTTTCATATATTTACAAGAATCCAATGACTAGCAGCAGTTACTAATCCACCATTTATATTCTGTACTTATTCGTTTTATTTACTAATTGCATTATGTAAGACAATATCAAGGTTTACTTCAGGGACGTGAGTCTGCAGTCAAGTAATCTTGACATAAATACGATACGAAGCCGGAGTAATCATCAGTGAAAATACACTAAAGGGAAAGGAAGACCATTGAATTTATGTATACACGTATTTATATGTAATGAAGAATGAAAAAACCACACCTTATCCTTGATATTTGATGGTCAGAATATACAGAATGACGGGGGAGTAAAGGACTAAGGTCATCACGGGCGTTTGTCTCAATTAGTGTGTAAATTACAGGTCATTATATCTCGAATCTCATTCCTAAATTGAATCTTTCGATTTAGGATATTTCTCAATCTAGATCAGTAGACCTAGAAAGACGATCATTAATTAAATATCCGTTAGATTTTATGTTCATTTTTGGACTATTGGGTGGTAAAAAATACTATCGAAAAAGTTCGTTCATCTCAGGTGACCTGAGTCGAGAAATATCGAGTGATAAATAGGAGCAAAAAGAGTAACAAGAGTAAACAGAGAAGGGAAGAAGTGGCCGTCGATTCTGCTCGAGGAAATCGAAGGCGAAGGACCTCAAGAACTAAGTCGACGACTTGGTGGGTCAAACAGACATTCTCAAGTGGTATTTGTGTTCTTTCTGTACGTGTATATTCACTTATAAAATATATGTATACAACACACATCAAGCACCAATGTATAGATGTATTTGAGAAGGGGCAGGTGAGCTCGGAATCGCGTAGGCAGGTATGCTCGTCTCCGGGGGCAGATATGACGCGGGGATGCGAGAAAGACGAAGAGAGGGTGTCCACGCGACGAAGAAAGAACTCGCCAAGAGGGGGGCGTGGGTCGTAGACAGTTGAAGGGCCGCGGCCAAGGTGAAATGAACGAGCGAGCGAGAAACAGAAGTAGGAAGAGAGCCAGAGAGAGTCAGACGATTCGCCTTTGTCCGCATAAGCAAACCGACCAACGAAGGGCGAAAACGAAGGAGAGGTCTTACCCAACGGTCCTCTCAACTCTCACCAATGTGTCCTCAATGTCTTCTGATTATGTTACGCTTGGAGAAACCGTAGATGTGGATAGAGTTCCGTCCCGAGAACCCCCACATACGATTCATGCTTCAATTCATTCGACACTGGAGACGAATTTCAGTTTTTGGATGAAATTCATTTTTTCATTTTATTTTGTCTAGTTTTTTTGGAGTTCTTAAAAAATGCCAAATTGTTGCCAAAATTGTTGCAGAATTTTCGTAACATCTGACAGTATTCATTATTTTAATTATAGTTATTATCAATCGAAAGAAATTTTGTTCATTCTTTCTTTCTTTTTTTTTCTTGCTTTCGTTGGTAAGAATTTTTTTTTAATCAATCCTCTGTTATATATACTCCAAAGTATAATGTTATAGATTAGTAGGTGTAAAAAAAAAATAAAGGGATGAAGTGTCTATAATAATCATGGAGCTGTGAAATGTACCATCGATTTCAGTTGTTTTTTTTCTTCTTTTATTCTCTCTTCAACATTCTTGACACGTGGAATCGAGTATTCTAGATTTTCTAGCAACCCTTACACAGCAGTAAAACGATTCTAAAAGCATCTTATTCTCAATTCTACGCTTGTACCCTTTTCTCTTTATGCACATAATGATTGATGGAATATTGTATGCAGTAACTATCCTTTCTGAATCTTTACCGAAAATTTCCTTATTCCTGACAACGGTCATTTGTTTTTACAAAAATTCAATGGGGTGAAAAGTTGAAAGTTATTTAAGAAGTTATTTTTATAGACCTTGAAACAATAATTGCACGAGAACAAGAGATATCCAACAATTTCTCGCATGACTGCGCACCCAGAAAGTTCGGTAACAAACAAGATCCAAACGTGCAATGGACATGGAGTATACACACTATATAAAGGGCAGTTGAATCCAACCAGAAATGATGTGAAAGACTCTTGGAGTATTTGGAGAAAAAAGAAATATGTAAGAGGAGAAAAATAAATGAAGAAAAAGAGAAATAGAAACTAAAGAGCCATCTGCGTGCGCGGCACTTTAGTAATTTTGCTCCTCTTGAAATGGAGAACGCCTACCGAAATTCCACAGCCTTTTCAGAGCTTCATTTTGGACTGTATGTATTATATCTCCTTTGTCTTCCTACCGCTCTGATTTTTACAACCAAATATCAATCATATATTCGATGTACAAATATAGACAATGTGAACAAATTATATATACAATATTTCAAATCCTCAACTACTACTGGATTAACTTTCTAAATACTCTTCCAAAATTCTACCTTAATTGAATAACAACTAACCATAAAAAAAACAATCAATCATCATTTTCCACACCCCAATTCGACATACACGTCTCTCAAAATTCCAAGTCTACAATCATGACGACTACTACCTGACCAAATCCCTAGAAAGGTATGAAAAATTTTGAATTTCCTGAAAGGTCTATTGGCAAAGATGGTAGTCAATTGTCAGCAAAACAATATATACATTAGATGTATGTATGTGTGCATAAAGACATGAGAAAGAGAGGGAGAGGGAGGAGTGCATAAATGTGAAAGAGACAAGGATGAAAGGCTTACGACGTTCTGGTGGTAGGCACGAGCCGCGAGCCGGCGCGAGTACAAGTTTCTCAGGCAGGTCAGTGAAACTGCGCCGTCAAGTTGAAGGCCAACACCCCCACAATGCATCGGACGAGCACCCGAGAACGCGTCGAGCGTCCCCCACTACTAAACCAGGCGTCGCACTACTACCGTCGTGGTGACGAGCGCATCCCCCGCACTCTCTAATTCCCCACTCGCCCTTTTACGTTCACCAGCCCCACTCTCTCCAGCTCCCTAACATCCGAGGAAACTCCGACTGATAAAGTCGATGGCACCGGCAAGGATGACACAGCCTCATGGTAACGACCGCTGCATTTTTTTTCATTCATTTTCCAAAAGACATCCCCTGGTAATTTTTTTTTATTTTCTTTTTGCTGTGAGTCTTCTGATATTTTTTTTTTTTTGTTCACTCATCGTTTAAAGACTCGGCTCTTGGAGTTTCTTTTTTAATGCTGATCGGAGCTCAAGAGTTGAATGACGCTTCTTAAATGGCAAATTTAAATAAAATGATTCAGGAGTGCAGAGGAAAAGAGAGAGGCGTGCGATCGATTTCCGTGACCTCGCCAAGGAGGCGACGACCGGCACGGGACCTCGAAGAATCTTGTTTCTACGTGCATACCCACTTCACTATGCACGCAAACCTGATAAAAGAGAACCATTCCCTCCTCTTTCTTTCTGCACTCTCTTCTCGCTATATAATCTGAGTATTCACTTCTACAACTTTTTTTTTTTTTTATACCAACTAACTTTTTATATTTATTATCTCTGTATTCTTTATTCGTTAACCTTTGAAAATCTTTAACGCTTGAAAATTTTATTGTAATTAATTTTAGAAATTTATATTATTATGAAACCATCCATTCACTCAAGTCTCCTTGAATTGATTGATTAAATGCAAAATTTAGTCAAGTTAGATCTACAATTTTCATTTGACCGATATTCTATTATTTATATGACAAAATTGAAGTAAAATGTTTTTTAATTATTTTTATTCAGTTAAAAGTTCAATAATCAATAATTGTTAGTGAATTAATTTTAATGGTAATTTTGTCGATGATTTAATGATGCAAAAAATTCTGATTCAAGGAAAAAACGATCCCAACCCTGGAGTCTAGACCATTAATATCTAAAAAGCCTAATCAGAGTATCATCTGGGTGGAACAAAAAATATCTTGAAATTCTGACAAGTGAAAAGAGAAGCTAAAAATGCCATGAATAAAAATGACATTTCTCGTTGGTAACGTACTTATATTTACAGAAGATCATTTCCTCAGTCAGCAATAACTCACGGCACCAAATCGAATGCTTCCTTGATACCCTTACTATCTTTCTTGTCTTTGGCGCGAAGGCCAGAAATTCCAGCTCCGCAAATAGATCGATGACACTCGAGCAAGCAATCTCGTGGTGGTGCGCGCACAATCCGACAAGTGCGTCGTTGCGCTGCGATGTGCGCATACAATCCGGTGCAGTTAGTGTGTGCTATGCCTGGATTTTACTTGCTCGCTCACAACTCCCATCTTATCCGTAGTGTCTCTGAAATATCCGGGCACGGGATAAAGTGCAATGGACGCGAGCATGCACGCACGTCCATCGATGCGTCCTGGGTTCGTTTGTTTCGCTACACGCATAGTAGTAAGTAAAGTAAGTAGTTGGACTCTTTCTCTCTTTCTCTTTCATACTCTTTCCTTCAACAAGACTTCAAATGACAGTGGGGGTCACACTATATTAAGATTGAACTCTACTGACATCTACACAATTGAACCTCCTGCTTTTCGATGAGTAAGTAAATAAATG